CACCACGACCAGACATACCAGACGATGATAGGAAGTCATTGCCACTCCGACCAGACATACTCATCGATGATGGGTAGTTACTGCCACCACGAACAGACATACTCATCGATGATTGGTAATCACTACCACCACGACCAGACATTCCCGACATTGGCTGAAAATCATCGTCACCACGTCCAGACATACCAATAGATGATTGATAATTATTTCCACCACGACCGGACATACCAAACGGTAATGGATAATCGCCACCGTCGCGACCAGACATTCCCATGGATGATGGGTAGTCATTACCACCGCGACCAGAATTCATACGAGTGGATGATTGGTAATCACCATTACTGTGACCCGATATACGAGTAGATGAGGGGTAATCACCATTGCTATGACTGGGCATACGAATGGATGAGGGGTAATCACTATTACTGCGACTCGGCATACCAATAGATGATATGAAGTCATTACGACCGCGTCTGGGCATATCAAACGATGGTGAATAATTGTTCTCACCACGACTAGCCACTATACCACCATTATATGCATTATTTGAGTTTCCCTTGATATTATTTGCACTCATAATTTTTTCAAATATATCATTACCAAGTCCAATCCGTTCACCACGGTTGCCACGATCAGCACGATTTCGAGACTTGCCGCCCTTGCCACCATCACCAGCATCTTCACCATGAAGAGCCAAGTGTTCCAAATCTGGATTCACCGGTTGATTGGCTTCACGCAATACATCGATCAAACCACTTGCACATTTCGCATTCTTACGGGTAAAAAATGCATACGACGTACCAGTGCAGTGTTTTCGACCAGTTCGACCAATGCGATGTATATAGTCCTCTGCCGATTGCGGAAAATCAAAATTTATAACATGATTAATGCCATCAACATCCAAACCCCGTGCAGCTACATCTGTTGCAACTAATATATTTGATCGGCCGCAACGAAAATCACCTAATACCTTATCGCGGTCCACTTGGGATTTATCGCCATGTATGGCGCCAACATGAACCCCAAAACCGTTAATAAAACGTGCTAATTCGTCCACCTTTTTCTTGGTTGAAACAAAGATAATTATTTTACCAGGAGCGTGTGCTTGATCATATATATGTGAGAGCAGTTCTTTTAACTTAACACCCTTATCCGATTCATCACACACGTCTACTAACTGGCGAATATTGTGATTAGCAGCGAGCTCAAGCGAACCAATATTTATCTGTAAATAATATTTTTTATAATAAAATATTTAATTACATACTATAATTAATAATTACTCACTTGGATATAGTCGCCAAGAAAATCTTCAGCAAGTTGGCGCACTTCTTTTGGCCAAGTAGCACTCCACATCAAAATTTGACGATCTGGGCGTATTTGACCCAAAATTTTACGAATTTGTGGCTCAAAACCCATATCTAACATACGATCAGCTTCATCTAATACCAAATAAGTGCAGCGACGCAAATTTGTGTTACCGCTGGCAAGAAAATCAATAAGGCGACCAGGTGTGGCAATGACTATTTGAACACCTCGTTCCAAATCATTTGCCTGTTTTCCTTTCGGTGCGCCACCAAAAATACATGTGTTGCGAACAAATGAATTGGAGCCAAAATCAGTAGCTACCGTTTGAATTTGCTGCGCCAGTTCGCGAGTTGGTGCCAAGACCAAGGCTATTGGTCCTTCACCGGGCTGTAACGGTGTTTGATTATTGATATGAACAATAGCCGGTAATATAAAAGCCAATGTTTTCCCCGAACCAGTCATAGCGATTCCAACTAAATTGGAACCACTCATAGCAATCGGCCACGCTTGTGCTTGTATAGGAGTAGGTTCGGTATATCTTTGCCGACGAATTTCATTCATACAGTAATCTGGAAAACAAGCTTCATCGAAGAACGGTATTGGATTAGGAGCTAAACCACGTACAGTTATTTGGTTGGCGGCGCGATATTCTTCAACGGCGTTAGCTGAACGACTACGCGTACGAGGGTGCTCCTCATAAAAGTTTTTCTCGAACGGTGGAAGCTTCATGTCTAACCAATTTATTGTACGCAAATCTAAGTAAATAAATACAATGTTAAAATCAATTAAATCTGACTGATAAATGCATGTAATTTTTAATTCTTAAATTCCACTATTATTTAGAATATAAATTCAGCAAATAAAAATAAATTATTTGATCCAATAATTCAATACAAATTAAAATGGAATTTAGCTTCATCTAAATTTTGTTAGGACTTACTTGAGAAACTTCCTTTAGTGCGGTTCTTTTTGCCACCTTTACTTATACGACCAAGACGAACGCTTTCGCGCGCCTTTCCTTTAGACTTTCGTGGAGACATATTATTCATAAGATGTCTGCAAATTAACAAAAAAATTTATTTTTGGTAAACGCACAAAAAAATTATACAGCGAAATATAGTTGACATTAACACTTATGCGTTATTGACATATTTTCTATTTATATGTTGCACAATATATTAGTTTTACTAACCTGTACTACGGTACGTATTAACTTATTGTTTTTTTGGATTAATAACATAAATATTAAAACATTAAGCGGTTTTAAAAATTTGTATACAAATCCTTATCGAAGCCGAAATACATCAGAAATTTTTATATGTTTGACATACGGTAGAAAATGTTTCGGAAATAGGGAAATTTTTAGAGTTGCCATTTCGATTTGTTTAAAAAATATGATATGTAATCAACTTATAACTGTTATCATTCGCGTTTTAAAATCAAACTTTAAACATAATAATTACGGACGTGTGCTATTTAGGTTAAGTTGAGTTCTAAATGAGGGAAATTCTAAGTTGTGCCGATAATGTAGTGATGTGTCGATAGGTGCTGATAAATGGCAAAATGTGTGCAGTGCAAAAAATCTCAAGAAAAGTCCCATTTGGTTTAGCATCAACTTAGCTAACTCGCACACGTCCTAAATTTGCTTTATATTATATTCATCAAATATAACACTTATATTTTGCTTTTTATTATAAAACGCACAAATAACTATTATTTTTGCCTTAAAAATATAAAAATCAGGAATAACTTATTCTTGAAAATAATATATAATTCACACCGCCCTCCCGAATATTTTTTAAAACGAAGCTAAAAAATACATTTTTCATTCAATGTTCTTGTTTTGTAATGTCATACAAAATGTATTTTTAATACATGTACACTGAATATCAATAAATCAACTCATTTAAAGCGAAAAATATCGAATGCAACCCTTAAAAATAAACATTTCGCAAGTGAAACTACCAAAATTGGAAATGTATGTTGTGTTTTATATGTAAAATATATGTAAACAAACAGGTAAGCTGTAAACAAAGGCACTGAGGAAATAAGTGTTTAATGAAATATTTAATATATCATATATACTTTTAATTTTTTTGTGTGATATATTATTAAATTTAACCACGGTAATGTTCAGTAATGTTTAAGCATTGAATGAGTACCTAAATGAAATTCTGTGAACATGCTTTAATGAAGTAAATCAATTATAATAAAATATAAAATTTAAATATATAATATATATATAAAAAATATTGAGGATAAAGCATTTTATGTCGAGTAATGTCGACTCATTTTTACTCGAGTAATTGTCCAATGTTTTGTTGTTTATCTTCCTAATTTGAACTCATCATCCATAAACTTTTACAAGGCTCTACTAACAAAAATAATAAAAAGCTAAATTAGATGAGAGAAATGAAATAAAGAAAAAACATTGTAGCACACAATAATATGGCGTTTACATTGGCCAAAAATGGCTCATTTTGAATGAGCCATTTGAAAGTGTTTACATTTGTTCTATTTCATTTGATCTCATTTCAACAGCTGATTTTTCAACTTGCATGTTGATTTGATTTTTGGCCTGTGCCAAAAAAATGTTGCATGAAGGTTAAATATGCCATCAAACCTTACATTAGAAACTTAAAACATATTTTTAACTTCGATTAATTACTTTTTGGGAAGTAAAAGTTCTAAAAAGCAGTGCATCGTTTTCAAGAAAATGCAACCACCAAACATTTGTTTACCTTTTTTTGTAAATATGTTAAAAACAGCTTTTTCAAACTGTCAAAATGCCATGAAGAGCTTTCATTTAGGGTATGTTCAATGGATTCCTTTGCATTTGGAACGTATGTGGAATGCATTCGAACGTCATACAGAATGTGAGAAAATTGCTCATTTTTGTGCTTGAAATTTTATATGCAAGAATGAGCCATTCGATACTCATTTTCGATTTTTGACCAAAATGAGCCATTTTCGGCCAATGTAAACGCCGTATAAGTTTGATAAATTCTTTAGTATTCGGTGGAAAACAGCTGTTTCACAAAATTAAAATTGAACTTGAAATGCTCAAAAAGAATCACAAATTATATCATGTAAACAGAAATTAAAAACTTAATGTATATAAAATATAATATGTAATATATATTATTTTTATTTCTTATTTGTATTTATATATTTTTTTATTTAGCACAAAGCAAATAAGAGATTTCATATTATATATATGTTCTTATGTATCTTCACGGCCGTGTGCGTGTAAACTGAGGTAAATAGTAAATTATGTCGGTATGGCAGCGACTGTTGGTATTTACAAGAATTTCGAGTAATGTAAATTAGATAAAAATTAGGTAAATTGTTACCATTGTGAAAATTTTATAAGATGTTTAGTAAATAAATTTGAAAACTTTTAACCAAAAATAATAAATAAGTGCAATAACTAATTATTTACATAAATGCAGTGCAAAAAATCCCTAGGAATCTTCTATTTATTTTACATAAATTTACTCGAACTCGAACACGGCCTATAAATTAAAATTTTCTTCATAGAAAAACTTTGCATGCTATGTATAAATCCAATTTCTAATAAAAATTTTACATGGCAACACTGTTTTCAAACTCATATGTGTTTGGCAGAAGCGAAACGTCAAAATTTAGTCGGCACGATTTTATTTGTTGATTTATTTTGACTTCAGTTATTTTTTCTGTTAATTATTGCTATAAATTATTTTAGTAAATCATTAAAAATTTTATAGATCTTATAATTTGTTACTTTATATTTACCTAAAATCGTTACAACAAGATGTCTATAGAAGAATTGGATAGCTCTGAACTGGGTACAATGGAATATTGGGAAACCAGCTATAGTCGCGAAATCTATAATTACAACAGAAATGGAGATGTTGGTGAAATATGGTTTGATGAGGACTCACAAAATCGTATAATTACTTGGATATTAAAGCAAGATTCAATAGAAGAAGACGATCGCATAATTGATTTGGGTTGTGGCAACGGCATGCTACTTATAGAACTAGCACAAGAAGGTTATAACAACTTATTGGGAGTAGATTACTCCCCAAAAGCTGTTCAATTAGCCAATAGTATAAAAAATGACAGAAAATTAAATATACAATATGCAGTAGCCGATCTGACAAATCTAGAAGAAATGAAAAAACTTGGTATATTTAAAATTGTCCATGATAAAGGTACTTACGATGCGATAAGTTTGTGTCCTGATAACTCAAAGCAGAAACGAGATTTATATATAAATTCTGTGCTAAATATTATGGATGAGAAGAGTTTATTTATAATTACATCGTGTAATTGGACTGAAGACGAATTAATTTTAAGTTTTGTTGATAAATTTCTCAAAAAATGTACAATACCAACACCGTCATTTAAATTTGGCGGGAAAGTTGGCAACGTTGTTACATCAATGGTTTTTACAAAAAAATAAATAATATATTTTATATAAAACTGCATTCTGTTTTAAATGTGTGTTCATTCTTTGGTATTGTACTAAAGGTTGAAGGTTATGTATTTTTTTAAAGCATATGTTGTAAAATAGAAAATTCACCAAACCCTTTTTTTAATGATATCAGTGCCACAGTTATAAACATTAATCTTAAAATGGGTTTTTTATATATTTTTATCTGGCTGTAAGTCCCTTCTTGTTAAATAATTAAACGTTTAATATTTTTTATCATACTCTATATTTCGACTCTCCTTGAGAGTCATCACCAGGATTACGATACGTCATCCTCTTTGTTCTAAAAAAAAATATTAAACGTTTAATTATTAACAAAAAGAGATCTATAGCCAGATTAAAAATATAAAAAATCCTTGTAATAAACAGGTAGAAAAATAAATTTAAAACATTTTGTATTAATCTTAAGGACTATAATATCGTGTTAGCGCAGTGCGACAGATAGATTTGCTAGTGGAAGTTAGTTTGGTTGGAAAAGGTTACTGGACGCGGTAAAAGACGATACACACATATTAAAATCAATTAAATAATTACAAACAAAATTTAATAATATATAGCCATATTTTTGAGAGTCCTTATAACATGTGTAGATATAAGAATTACAGATCTAAATAAGTCTTGTGACTATATATTATAGTCGTTCACCAAAATAGAAACTTTGAAATGGTCTTAATATTAGTTACTTTTAATGGAGCGCTATTTATAAAAAAAAAAGTCTCAACTGTATAATTAAATAAAAAGTATTAAGTTCTTGCTTTAAAACTACTGTAAAAATTTCTTTACGTTAAAATATATTTATTTAATATGATAATAATTTGTTACCGGGTTAATTGGTCAAATTTTAATATAAATAAAAAGACACTAATTTATTATTTATACTTTTTCAAAAAATGCGGTTTCATATATTTATTTCGATTTATTTGCGAACTATCTTCGATAGTCATCTTCAGGGGAACCTTACACAAAATATAGGATGTTCACATCTTTTATAGGGCGGATTAATGACAAGAAATCATACATATATAGCAATAATAAGATGACTGACACAAAGAAAAAACAACAATAATTGTTTTTTTGTTGTTTTTCCTCTGTTGTCATCCTTATTAGTTGTATTTCTGTATGATTTTTCTTTCCAATCCGCTAAATAAATCGAGAACGATCCTGATGATGTTGTTTTTAGTTTTCCCGTTGACAGATGACTATCGAAGATAGCTCGAAATAATCCGGAAATGAAATATAAACGTATTTTTAATAATTAAATATAAATAGTTGTACTTCTATTCTAGTGATTAAAATTTGACCAATTAGCCCGGTAACAAATTATTATAATAATAATTTTTGGTCATAAATATAAGTATTTATTTAATATGTATTTAATTCTCTAGCACATAATTTCAGTGATAATAAAAGTTTTTATCTTATATATGTGTATAATATATAATACATGCACTACTATATTTGAATCGAACGCATTTCGGCAAGACTCAAGTTCCTCTTACGGCTATTTGTCAGTCATTTTTGCTTATATATGATTCAAAATATACTTACTTTGAATTATTATCAGTTCGCACTACAACGTTTAAGAAGTATTTTTGCAATCGAACTCAAATATTATAATGGCTTTCAATGTGTTTAAACTTCGTTATCAATTTTTTTCAATGTAACTTTAAATTTGAAGATTTATTTTTTTCCTGACACAAGTAATTGTTTTATGATTTTAAATCAATAATTCAGCATATAAAATTTTTATTTACTTGACATTAATTTCATATGATACACAAATTGTAATTCCAACAATCATATATAATTTATCTGTACTAAAAGGAAAATATTTTCCACAAATATTTTAAAAATTTATCAAAAATTGTAAAATATTTGGAAAATTTGGTAGCACTGTTTTTAATGACATTTAAAGATAATTTTTTCTTTGAATTTTGTCATCGTGGCTACTTTCTTTGTTGTTGCTTCATTACAAGCTGCTTATGTTGACAGCTGCGCATTTAAAAATATATTGTACTCTTTCTAACGAATTAACATTAAACGAAGATAGCAACTTTCAATGCATAGTTGAGATACCATTGACAAGGTTTCAAGTTGATATTCAAATTTAATGCTGTCAAACCGATTATAAAGTTCGCGACGGGCGGAGGTGCGTTTAGGTTAAAACAAGAAAATAGTTTCTTGGGGAAAAAAATCATATTTTTCTTTGAAAAATAATAAAAATTTGCAAGTGCAAATTGATTAAGTGATTCCAAACAAATTTCTAAAATACTGAGGATACACCCGCTTTATTAAAAAAAAATATGAGTGCAGCAAATGTAGCAACTGTTCCGGGTACTGGTTCTGTGCCGAGCAATAAGGAAGGTGCGCCAGCGGCGATTCCAGCACCGATACGTAAAGGCATCGTTAAACAAGTAAGTGCAAAAATGAATACCAGTTTAATTAATTGAATTAAATATAATTGATTTAAATACCCTAAAATTCCAACACATTTTTCATTGAAGTACAAAAGAAACGCGTGCACCTAAATTCGTTGATGTGCGAGCGGGACAAAATAATTGCGTTTAAAGTACGTATGACACGTCAAGAAACACGAACAGGCAAAATGAAAGTTGCACGAAGGTGCCAACTTGGCAGATTAAAAGTCATTCGTTTTCGTCTTGCCGGAGCCGCAACAAAAATAAGTACATAATTAAATAGGAAAGAAGTTTTTAACAAATGTAAATTAAATTATTTGCATAATGTCAAAGAATTCAAGTGCGATGCCATATTGATTTGAACATATATCAAATATGTGCTTTAATGAATATATTTTGATACATAAAGAGAGAGTAGAATTCATATATGTCAATAGTAAATGCAATGTATGGTTCCACTAAAATTTGTATGTAGTATGCGGCATTTGCATGGCCATTCTGAATAGCATGCCTATTGGATAGTAACGTATTATTTGACTTAATAGGCTGGTCTAATAGGTGGTCTGGTTCTTACCTAAATACAGTTTTGTACCTGTTTTTTTCACAGGTAAATTTTGCGTCTTTAGTTGTGAAACGAACTGCTATAAACTCTTATTTTTATAGAATTATGTATGAAAAATACTATATACCATTGCAGTTAATGCTTAAAAGTATTTAATATATTTTAAAATGTTAAATACTTTTAATATATGATAATGAATGTGCATAAGGGGCGACAACATCTTTAACTGAAACTATATGGCGCGAAGAATTTATTTTTAAACAACTTTGCTTATTACTACAACTTTTTTTTATTGTTTATATTTAAAAACAACATTTTTCTTATACTTTTATATAAAACTATAATAGTTTTTTTTTTTTATTATAATCGTCTATCTTATACTTGTCCCATGCCCTTTACTATACAAAAAATAAATCCGATATGTATTTAAATATTTTAAATAAAAATATAAATTTTTATGAAAATAAATTTTTAACTAATATTAAATTTAGTAATGAACAAAAAAATACACTTTCACTGCATTTCGCATTATGCCAAGAATGAATAAGTAAGTTTCTTGCCGTTGTTGACCACTGTGGCAAATGCTTCAATCAAAAGGCATAAGTTCCACAATACTGTTGATATCTTTGCGATTTACTCTTATGTTTTGAATGCCAATGGGCAAACCTCTTCACTTTCACCTTTCATTAAATTTTAACTTACAAATATTAAATACGAAAATCAGGTTTTGTATATAAACTTCACATATAACGCCAGCTAAAGTGAAGGTATTACATTTTGCTTTTCAATAAGTACAGAGTATAAAATATAAACGATTTTAAAATAGTATAAAATCACTATTTGTAATGTTTTCGGTTGTAATAAATAAAAATAAAAATTATTATTTATTAAATTTACTCATTTAGATGGTAAATTGTACTATATTTTACGTGCCAATTAAATTTGAACTATGTACTCTTCAGATATGCTTCCATCAATAATGCTGATCATAGATTCGTTACCGCACAAATATTTTTATTAGACTAGCGCATAAAAAAATTAATTTTTTTATATTAAAAATGTTTAAAGAAATGCTTTCGCTAGAAATTTTTTAAACATAACAATTTTGTTGCGTTTGTATTAACTGTATTTGCAGTTTCCATTAGGGTAGAGTATATTCATTCAATGGTATCAGAACTGCTCATTATTTAAGCTCTAGTGGATTTTGATGCAGTCGCACAACTTAGACTAACCTATAGCATTCTTCATGGATATATCGACACCTATTACATTGGCGCTAATATCAGTGAGATCGAATGTAAATATGAACTTACAATTATTCAAAAGAATGTAAATTCATGAAGATCTGTGTAAAAAGAACTGTCCTACCTCCTGTTCTCATTGAGCTTAGGATATAGCAGTATATGCTCAACAGTTATTGGTCACGCATAAATTATCAATTTCCAATGTGTACTATAACTGCAGCTTAACCTTCATAATGTCAACCATCTGTTTTTTTTTTTTTTTTGCCCAAACGCACACAAATCTGAGTTCAAGCTTCCTTGGAAACTGCTCCATAGGAGTGACTATGTTTCTATAACTCAATCTTGGTTGACTTCAATTTAATTGCCACCAATCCCCCGATTCATTCCCACTTCTACATGATCCCCTTCACTCTCACACAAGCAATAACCATCTACATCTTAACCTATGTATTCTAATTACTTTCATGTTACCCTAGTCTGCGGGTTACAATAGCCTACCCTAAAGTGAGTAGGCGGCGATTGTTTGTCTATACAAACAATTAGTGCTCTTATTAGTGCTCTTAGCTATCATTTCAAGTCTTGCCTTTTTTTAGTATGTATATATGAGCATTAACAGATTGCATAAAAGAAGTGTGGAATTTACTTAGTTATTTGCTTTGGGCACATTGGATTGGTTTTTTAAGAAAAAAAAAAAAAAGAATGTGAATGCATCTATGGGTTTTATGAGACTTCAAAGCATGTACACTGTTTTATAAAGCAAAAAAATATTTAGGTGAGCATCTTATATCGGATTAAGTAATTAGACTCTGTAAACTATGTTCAATACTAAAATTGATCGAGAAAATCAAGTGGAACTAATATCCTTTCTTTAAAAGGAGGAACCATTACACAACTTAATAATTGGGTTAATCATCATAAAATTGCCATAAAAGTAGTCGAACATATCAATTTTAAAAATTAACAAAACTGTATGGAACGTGTCATGAATACTAATTTTAAACTCGGGAATTGGTATAGCGTGACCAAGAACATGTGAATGTAATAACACTTTTAGTATTTGAATTTACGAAGTAATTTGTACATGAATTTTTTATTCTAGAAAAATAGAGATTTTGGTAGAGACTTAACACTTTGGTTTAATGGATAGCTTTCGTTCTCTCTGGAGAAATGACCTTCTTTAAAATAATATGCTATCAAATATTTTTTCATTAACCATTGATACAGTTTCAATACACCTTATTTATTTATTTAATACAGTTACTTTTCCAGTCAGTAATTCAAATAGCGCGCATATATACGACGTTTTTATAACATAAAAATGATAGTTTTTAGTGTTATTGATGTTATTGAACAATCTCTCATTATTTGGACATTTCGGTAATCTAGAGTATTCCTAAAACATGATTTATCAATATATTCAGAGTATACTGTAGCTTAAATTTTCATTAAAAATATTGGTTCTTACTGTAAAAACTGTTCCAAACTGTCAAAAAGTTCCAAACTATAAAATCAAAATGAACTATCTCATGACAAATCAGAGCTTTATTTGCTAAAGAGTTGGGATTTTTTTTTGCATTTTCATACATAATTTTAAATCTATATCAAAAGTAAATTTCGTCTGAAGTTATTATTTGATAAAATCCGGATATGAACTGTACTTCACGTATATATATGACAATGTATAGATGTAGTTTATGTAGAAAAATATTTGTTATCTGTTTAGTAGTTGATAAGGTACTTAATGTAGTTCAGAACGAAATATATCTTATCAGTTTAATGTAATAAATATAGAAAAGATTTACTTAACAAATAGAAAGAAATTTCATTTCAATGATTTGAGTTAATGTAATTTCACACAAAACAATTTTTCTACCTCAAATTATAATCCTTATTTCTCAGTTCCTAAACATTTCCCGCCAACAAACTGGAAGTGATATTTACTATATACTATCTAAATTTTTCAGAAATGTAATAAAAGACCGATAACCAATAAAATGTCAGCAAAACACTAAGTACTGAAGCATCTTCCAATCAAATAATAAAAAAAAAAAATAATAAATGGGTATTGAATTACATAGCATACATATCTACATTATTTATATTAAGCACTCTAGCTTTATGTAAAGTTTCTTTATTATTTTCATAAAAAAATCTTTATTCCTAATTAGTTCTTTATTCTATATGTTAGGTTAGGTTGAATTGGTGGTGTTGAACACCAAAGTCCAGTTTGAACCAACCAAAATAGTTTTTCATTTGATCTATTTTCATATTTAATGCAATCAAACAGTTCCTGACGTCTCAAATAGTTCTGAAAAGGTTCACTATTCTTTATCTCGTATTACTTTCAATCATTCGTCATTCATGGACATACCTTCTTTGGATCTATAACAAAAACTGCGTTCTTTTTTTTTGCCACTTAATTTGAAACGTATTTAATAAATTATCTATTAGTGTGCAAACACCTCTTAATTTCAACATATTAGGTAAATAAATTATATATAATTAACTTAATTGCATGTTTAGATTTATTGAGTTATATATTACATGCCATTTTTTTTTAACCATACGAGCAAAATAGATCACTTATATATTCATATCTAATAAATATTCTTGGAAGCAAAATTGATCTTTAAACGCTAGCTGTGTGCTGTCCACTAAGACCTTCTACTTTTTTTCGTTGGTACTTTAGATTTACGAAATATGATCAATATTTTTCAGTGGTATCATAAGTGACCATTATTTATTTATTTGTTTTTTTTTTTTTGGTTCACAAGGTCGCCACTTCAACCTAAACCTTGATCAGACAGGTCCAGAACTCACATATTAGTTGATTACACTGATTTAATGGAAAAATAAATAAATCAGAAAAAAATATATGTAAGAAAAAGTAATAAATAAAAAAATATAAAAAAAAAATATTTAAATAAAAAAAATAAATAAATAAGAAATATAAGCAAATAAAAAAAAATATATAAATAATAAAAGAAATGAATAGATAAAATAAATGATTAAGAAATATAAATAAATATGAAAAATAAATAAATAAAATGAAGAAAACAAATAGAATAAATAAATATAATAAAATGAAGAAAACAAATAGAAAAATAAATAAAATAAATGAAGAACAAACAAATAGAAAAATAAATAAATAGAAAAATAAATAAATAAGCAAAAAAAATAAGAAAAATAAA